CTCCAGTGTGAACGCGATCTTCTCTTTAGTTCCATGGGGGAACTAAGTGCTGGGCACTAAGTACGGCAAAGTACTTAGTGTGAAAGCGGCTATTTATATAAAAACCTGTCTGAAAATGAGCTGATCAGGTTTTGGCCAGTTTATGATGTCATAACGATGTTTTGGCTTGTGTAACCATTAGCCAATCAGCAACCAAGGTAACCCCCCCCTTATCACCTGAATCTCCTCCTAGAGCACCATTGAGTTCTTTTTAACCAAATGTCTCTCAGATGGGCGTGGGGAATGGCTCCTTACTTTCATCTAAAGTAACAGACAGAGAATCAGCACTTTGGAAACAGGGCTGAAACAGAGGGGATTATGGGTAATGCTGCAATGATCTGTTTGGTGTTTCAGCCAATCAGAGACAGGCTCTGGATATATCTGAGACCTGTGATATATTGATGAAAAACAGTATAATAGGGGACTTTTAAAGAACAGTCACAACTGTGGCTGTGAGGTGGTGGTCGTCTTTCAATCGGATTAGTGTGGGTTCGATCCCCTACAGTCAACATGTCATCTTATCCTTAACCCCACTTAATAATAATTGCATTGCTTGAGCTTGTTGTTCCTCTGCCTCTGTATTCATGGGTGAATGCTGATTTAAAAAGCGCTTTGAGGAGTCTTGATAACGTGCTACATAAAAGGCTGAAATGTTGATTTGATACAACTGGATTCCTTCCATTTCATGAAAGCAAAAACGTTTCTGAAGCCAAAAGAAAATAATAGCCTATCGAAGTTTTGTATAGGGCTAGATGAGCATGTTTTAATGTCATAATGCAGTGAGGAGTGTAAAAGAGTCGCTGAAGTCTCCCAGGATCAGCACCACGGACAGCGCCCTGTCACATTTAACATGTAGTTCTCTGAAGTTGGCTATTTCTGATTATTTGGCACTTTGTTTTGGAAGTCTGTAAACAGATGCTCTGAAATGTTAATGAACGACTCTTTCATGTATTCATAGGAGATTTCATATTTGATCTAATTCTTAAAAGTAGTGCTTTCCGCAGCCGCCCTGATATCTCTCTCTTTCTGTCGTCGCCAGCTGGAAACCTCTCAGTAAACACTGAGCTTCTTTTGGGATTGTTTTTCAGTATTACTTTTTAATTTAATTGCAAATGTTTCACTTTGAGTTTCCTGTAGAATTATGTAATCTTGGTGGGTGGACCTCCAGGGTGGTCCGGGGGCTTTCTGCACTGCAAGAACATTCGGTACATTTTAAAATTAAATGCATTCATCTGAGAGCAAAATGTAGATGCTAGTTTTATGAAGAACCTTATTGAACAATTGAACCATAAACACAAGGGTTGTATATAAAAGTTAAAGGTCACCTATTATGAAAAATCCACTTCTTCATGTCTCTAATACATCAACATGTGTCCCCTCTTCTTCATGTCTCTTCTACATCAACATGTGTCCCCTCTTCTTCATGTCTCTTCTACATCAACATGTGTCCCCTCTTCTTCATGTCTCTTCTACATCAACATGTGTCCCCTCTTCTTCATGTCTCTTCTTGTCTTGTCTTTTTGTCTTTATTAAGATCCCCATTAGCACTAGAATGAGCATTGGCTATTCTTCCTGGGGTCCTCACACACTCAAAACATACATAAACATACATACAACAAAATTAAAACAAAACAAAACAAAA